TCTATCTATCTATCTATCTATCTATCTATCTATCTATCTATCTATCTATCTATCTATCTATCTATCTATCTATCATCTATCTATATCAATAGATAGACAGACAGACAGTTCTCCCAGTTCCTCATCTAATTGCAAAAAAAGGGGGGGAGTATGAGGACAATATAAGGACAGTATAGTAGTTACTGTAATGTCATAAGGGTAGCCAATAAATGTTTTCCATCTCTGAGGTTAGAGAAAGAAGTGCATATTATATGATGTTAACAGTAGTCATGCATTTTCAACAAACCCACTAGCCTTGAAATACTTTATCTCTTTTCACATAAAGTAAAGCAACATGGTGGTAGACGAACGATTTCAGAGGCTTAGACATGCCTCCTATAACTCCATGTTCACCATTTATCATTCTTTAAGTACTCACCACGGTCAACTATGAATCTCAGCTTCTGAATAACGGCCAAGTTCCCATTGACCCTATAGATCCCATCTGCATCCAGCCCTGAAAGAGAAGGACAGAACTGCTGTGGATCCCCTCCCCCAAAAATCTATGGAGTGCCAGAACTAGGAGGAAGATCCTAGCTGAGACAGGGATGGAGTGGTGACCCCAGGGATACCCTACCTCTCTGTTCCACAGCTTCCACACATTGTTGGACAAACCGGGGTACTGTGCCCCCTTCTCGCTGGCACAGGGCCTCTAGCCGACAGCCAAAGACTTGATCTGGAAATAGAAATGGAAACTGTGAAGCAATTGAAGATATTTTGTTCTAGGGGAGCTACAATTATCTCTCTCCCAAGAAATAAATATAGATGAGCAATTTGTACAATCCCAACCCTATTTTTATAGAGCCTAGAACCGTGATGGCGAACCTATGGCACGCATGTCAGAAGTGGCACGCAGAGCCATCTCTCTGGGCACGCGAGCCATTGCCCGTTGCTGTTCCGGGTTCTGGCGCACCAGCCAGCTGGTCTTCATATGCACAGGAGTGCCGGAAACCAGAAGAGCAGCCTCCCAGTGCGTATGTGTGCGCCAGGAAGATCATCTTCCGGTTTCTGATGCACCAGCTGTTCTTCGAGCACTCATCCACATCAGAATCCAAAAGACCAAGGGGCCAATGCACTTGCATGTGCCAGAAACTGGAAGATCATCTTTCCAGTGTGCACATGCTGCTCTTCCAGTTTCTGGCGTGTGCATGCACACCAGCCAGCTAGTCTTCGCAAGCACATGTGCCCCAAAATCAGAAGGCCAGGTGGCCAGTGTGCATGCGCATGGCATAAACCAGAAGCTCATCCCTATGTGTTCAGAAAAATCTCACACACATTTGTTTGTTTTTGTTTGTTTGTGGGTCATTATTCTAAGAACCGTGCTCAAAATTCAAGTCATTTGTCTCAAACTGGCACGCAAAGAATTATGACTGTGTGCCCCAAATCAGATAGTGTACAAAAATAAGTACATAGCAATGCTGATTTTCTGTACCTTTTAAAATCCATAATCTCTACCCAGCCTCCATTGCAATGAAACTACAGGGATCTGCATCGTTACCTCGTATCAGTCCTTTCTCCTGCAAACTTCGCAGGGGGGGCCTCTTGGCGATGAAGCGTCTCAGCTTGCTTTTGACCCTTTTCTTGTAGACTCGGCCAGGACTCCCTGGGGCTATAGAGGAGGAAGGAACAGAAGCCAAGAGAAGAAGTTAAGGCAGCTGCCACTCCCTCATCCGCACATAGGACACAATAGCCCTACTTTTGACAGCTTTTAGCACCCTCACCTTCCACCCACCCCCAGTCCCAGATCTGCTGGTCACGAACCTGCTTGCACTTCACCCTTGGAGACCCCAAGTTCGTCTTCATCATCCCAGCTCAAATCCACAAGCTCAGCACTGTTTGACCGATAGAGTGGGTACAAAAGCGGCTCATCCAGAGGGTTCTCTTGATCCTGCAGTGGAGCAAGGAAGGAGCTCAATCCAGAGAAATAAGCAGCCAGATAGGATGGGGGCAAAGTGGGCAAATGCGCTGCCATCAACTACAAAAGGGTTCTGTTTCAAAGATCTACAAACTTGCATCGATACACTTGGGAATTTATAATGACGTGCCTGTTGTGGCCCGCCAGCGGCCAGCAGATTCGGACAGTGAGGAAGTTGGGGAGGAACATGGGCCAGTCCTGGAGTCTGAAGAAGGCTCGGACGAGGGCTCTGCATCAGAGGCAGAGAGGGGACCAAGGCCATATGGTAGTTATTTGCTGCCTCTGAAGCCTCCAGAGTCTGACATCAGCGAGGCAGAAAAACAATGGGAGCCTGTTCCCAGTGTGCGCATGCGCAGGGCTGCCAGAAGGCAAGAACAATTAAGAAAACAGGATCAACTTCGGAGTAAGGCTTGGAGATGATTGGCCCTCCCATAAGACATAAAAGAGAAACGAACGGGACGTGAGCTTTTGCAGAAAGCAGTTAGTTCATCTGGTCGGTTCAAGTTTTGAAAAGTTCTGTTTGATTCTGTGCTAAGTTTGGCCTTGCTCTGCATTTGGCAATTAGGTCTCTGGCAGCATTCCCAGGGAGATAAGGTAGGTGTTTCTCAACATTCCCCTGAAAGACTGTGGCAACTCAAGCAGACATCTGTCAGAACCTTCACAGACAATGACCCCAATTTACAGCCGTATAAATAAAGGAGGGCTTTTGGGACTAAGATTGTGATTTATGTTTTATCCGGAAGCCTAGGTCAGAACAGTGCCACTGTTATAAATCCATGGTAGGAGAGCGTCAACTTCGAAACGACTATGGCCGATGCCATATTTACTTTGCTTTGGTTCTTAGTTGCCATTCTCTGGGGGGAGGGGAGTTAGAAAGAACTGGAATGCGGTGCCTGAGTCCACTAGACAAAACTTCTACCAGATGAAGCATGTGAACTAAGGTCATGGCAACGAACATCTGCTGAGACCGAGGGAGAAGGATCCCGCTGGAGTGATTGGTTAACATGACCCAGGACACCTGAGGAGGTGGGAAGTTTCTGGTCTTTTTGTTACACTGAAGCGTGGGAATTACCCAGAGCTAGCTTCAACTTTCTAAGTGTCGATATGATGTACTCAATAAAAGGTCTTCAAAGTCTGAATAGAGCTTCGGAGTCCTGATTCAATTAGGTTCATTGCTCATGAAACCATGAAAGAGAGAGGGAGAGAGGAAGGGAGGGAGGGAGAGGGAGAGAGGAAGAGGGAGAGGGAAGGAGAGAGGGGGGGAGAGAAATGGGGAGAGGGGGAGGGAGGCAGAGAGAGGCAGAGGGAGAGAGAAAAAGGGAGAAGGAGGGAGAGAGAGAGAGGGAGAGAAAGTGGGAGAGGGGGAGGAAGGGAGGGGGAGAGAGAGAGACAGAGACAGAGAGAGAGAGACAGAGAGAGAAGTCCATTGGAGTTATTGGGTGGTACACATGAAGAAGTACAAGCTCAATAAAGGACAAACCATGCACAGAATCCTTTTTGTGGTCTGTCCTTTATTGATTTTGTAGTTCTTCATGTGTACCACCCAATAATCCCGAAGGACTTCTCTGCTTCTTCTGCCATGGCTTTATCACAGTGGCACATCAGTATGAAATCCTAAGTGTATCAGTCCAATTATGTGTGATAGAATGGAAGCCTGAAGGAAGAAGGAATGCTTCATCTTCAACATTAGCCCGACTTTCTCCGTGTTCCAGGAGAGTCCCAAACCCAAGTGAGAGTCCACCTCCAGATAAATATGGATATAGGGGGAGAGAAAGGGCTCTGCGCAGCATTGAACGCCATTCACTCATTTTGAGCTCTCATCAAAATCTGTTCCTACTTTAACAAGCTCAGAAAGAAGAGGGAAGATAGTGAGTGACTGACCGACAAAGAATGATTGTTGCATATATACTTTCATGTGCATGAGAGAGAAATGGAGAGTGAAATGCCTTTGGCTCCACTTACATTAGAATTTATTTATTTATTATAGTGATGCCCCCCCCTCCCAACAGATTTTGTTTTCTGGGGCAATAGATTCTCACTGCAGACATAATGAGTTCAATCATATTCTAAACCTGAAACAAAGACTTTCTGTCTTCCTTGAGAGTAGTCCCAAATTTTATAGAGGAAGGGTTGGCAACCTAGCACTCTAAAAACTTGGGGGACTTCGATGCCCATTAATGCCAATTAAAACACAAACAATTATAAGATATGATGGGAGTTTCCAAATCATTTTGATGTAGTTATTAAGACACAAGGCTAAAGCTGGGATGGTGTGAGTTGTAACCCTGCCTTAGCCAGCTAGATGAACTTGGGTCAGTCACTCTCCCTTAGCCCCAGGAATGAGGGAAGGGCAAATCACTCCCCCAAAACCTTGCCAACCCCCCCCCCTCCATACAATATTGTCTTTGCATTTGTCAAGAGTCCAAACTGACTTGAAGGCACTGACACAGAGACAAAAACCAGAGGAGATTTTAGTCTAGGACAGTGATGGATAACATTTTTCTAAAGGTGTGCCAAAACTGTGTGTGTGTGCTATCACGAGCATGTGCCCACCCACCTGCGCATCCCCAATGCACATGCATGAGCAACCCCCCACTGCGCATGCGCAAGCGACCACCATCATCACGCATGCACAAGTGACCCCCGAACTTCCAGTTGGGCTGTTGGGCCTGTTTTTCTCCCTGTCTAGGCTCTGGAGGCTTTCCTGAAGCCTGGGGAGGGTGAAAACGGTCTCCCTCGGCCCTCTAGAAAGCCAAAAAATAACTGGCCGGCATGCAGATATGGCTCAATGTGCCACCCGTGGCAAGTGTGCCATAGGTTCGCCATCACAGGTCTAGGAGGCTCCAGGCTGCTTGCCATTTGGGCAATGTTAGCTGGTTAACAATCCCGATCCTGGACGGAATGAAAGAATTGAGGAACAGCTTTTTTCTATATCAATATTTCAAAGAAGAAAGGAAGCGACTGAGATAACTTGGAGTTCTTGGTATCGTTCACTCACTAGTCTGTGGATGACCCCTTTGATTGCCTGGTACCAGTCCTGGCTGACAGCTTCATTATCTGATTGCAAGAGATACTCATTGCCAGTCACAGTGCGAAACTGAGAAGAAAA